CATTATGACTCAGCTCATCAGACACATAGCCCCCCCCGGCCACACCAGGTGTTTGTGAGGCTACACACATTCTTCCAGCGGTCCGAAATGGTGACTTGGCTTGATCATGGCTCCACTGGAAAACCACAGGGGGGGGGGGGTCATGATGCTGTTGGCAGCAGTGGCTGCAGAGGTTGGCGAAACTATCTTCTCCTTCATATTTTGCCTGGCTCTCTGGTGGACTCGCAACGAGGAGCAACTCCACTGGCTACCGCTAAAGCGAAAATACAGAGCGATGTGTGTACACATTTACACTCTACACCGCCACCCCGGTGACTGACGTCGAATGTGAGGTTGAGGTGTCCCTTGGATGTTGGATTGACGTATGAAGTGGTTCAGCTTGTGGGAAAAGAGGGGCGAGTGTTAATGCGACATGGTCAATGATCAACATTTAGTGTTTTTTGGTGTGTGAAAATCTAAAAGCTCAATCCATGGCAAAATGTGTCAATAACCCAGGCGCCACAACAACTTCTGGGCATTTGTCCTGAGACTTTAATGTTAAATCACAAGTGGTGCACAAGTCTGATGTGAGTAACTTTATAAACTAAAAGACACTCTACGTGTATTTTGGCTGGCTCCTCTGCAGTTTGCACTAAAGCCCTTCATATATGTTGAATTAGGAAGGCTGCCCTGTGCTTTGCCTCCTGTGTTTACTGAGAGCCATGGCTTGTCCGAATCCAGGAATGTGAGGAGTTGATCATAGAGACACAGAGCGACTTAATTCCCTCAAGTCTACGACCTCGCAGCCTAAACACACTGAGGCCCTGTGCTGCTGAGGCCAGCTATTTGTTTTTCCTCAGCTGCTGGGCGAGACTTCACACAGCTCGCACCAGAGGGAGCCATGCTTTCCAGCAGTGATGCATTAGGAACCATAGGAGGAGATGAGAGAGGGCTGATTGTCGTGAGGGAGGCACGACACCCCCTCAGTGTCCTTTTCACACTTCAACAACTTTCTTCCTCCTCCTCCTCCTGCTTCGCCTCCTTTTGGGACAGAATTTAACATACCAGGGCTTGAGGCTTGGGATCAGTGTCACGGCCTTTGAGCGGCTCCCTGTGCAGCGCACACACAAGGACACAAATGTTGGTGTTTATATTAAGTCTGCTATTACCAACCAAAAGCCATTTTCATCATGTTTGGACTTCTTGTGCCAAGGTGCTGGCCTCAGAGCTGGAGCTGGTCCCTGGACACGGCTCAGTGGCTGCCCACTGCCTCTGAACAGTTAGGACTGGTAAAATGCACAGAACAAATCTCCCCAAAGGGACTCAATAACTTCACTTATCGTGTCCCAGTGTCACTGTCCTCGCCCTCTGCAGTTCTGCCCACCTACTCATGCCTGCAGCGAACTGAAGCCCTCTTGCATCCGCGTGATGAAAGCCAGGCATCTCGGAGTCAGCCGAGGGCCCTGCCTGTGTTTGGACTCAAACTCACCAGCCACCGCAACATTCACTGCAGCCAGACAGCCACACAACGGCCTGGCCCGCATTCCTGTCAGTGATAGAGCATACTCTGTATATGCTCTCATCCCGGCTCAATTTATAGGACTCTTTATGCGAGAGGAGAGGGGAGCGGACTGATGGAGAGGAAAATAAATGTATGCAATCATCTGGAGCATGGTGATCATTTATTCTAAGGAGGGAGGATATTTTTGTTTTTAGCTTGATCCTCATTTCTGATATTTCTTCTTATGACACATAGTAGAACCCCTCAAAATGAGATTAAGGAGCCTGATGAACAAGAAGCCAAATCTGAGTGTGAGATTTCAACATCCCAACGACCATCTGTTGCAAACACACAACCTCGACAAGCAGGTTGACTAATCAGCATTTGCTTGTTAATAGATTGCAAAGTGTGTGTGTGGTAATAAGATGATTTCATTGTGGCATTTCACAGGAGATGTAAACTGAAGGAGGAGATGAAAAGCTTCCAACAGAGCAGCAGCTGAGTCACAGAGTCCCTTTAATAACTGTGCACAGATTAAAAAACCTCTGCTCACCTCACTGATACCTGCAGAGATACTCATGTTTACTGCTCCTTGGTCAAACATTACTCAGAAACATCGCTCCAGACTTTCCAGACACAAGTATTGAGCTCTCAGCAAAACCATGACTAACAAGACCACACTGGAATTCTGCGTTTTTTACATTTTTATTTTAGAAAATATATAAATATCTAGTTTCACCAAGCTCCGGATGTGACTGAGGTGTTATAAATGAAACTCACCACTTCTGTGTTTGTGATTTTAGCCAGCAGGTCTGTCAGGCTGTCGCCCCACTGTGACTGGTCAGTTGAATCCAGCTGCAGGCCACAGATCGCTGCCCCCACACTTCCTGTAGCAATCATGGAGGGGGGGTACATGGCGAATCTGAAATCTGTCAGAGGGAGAAACACCAGTTGAGTTAAACGTGTTTTGAGTGAGGTGAATTTTTGCAGTTTATCAAAGAGGCATCTCTCGTTGTTATTCACCTGGTGAGGTTTCTAAATTACACTTTCGATTCATGCGCTCCACACAAAAGGGCACAGATACATCCCTCCCAGAGACAATATGATTTGGTAATCTAGCAGTCAGCTAATAAATAATCCCTCTATTGTACCAGGTCCGAACGCAGCGCTCACTAATGACCAGGGGCCTGGATAATGAGGGTTCACTTGGCTTGTAAAGGAGCTGAAAAGCAACCACCCTCACCCGCTCCCCACCCCGGTCCCCCTCTCCCCAGCCCGGCCCCTTTTCTTCCATCTCCTGAGTAAATCGTGTGCTCGCTGAAAAAAGCCCCATAGCGCTTGGAAAGGGAGGAATAAAGAGGCTCAGTGCCTCTGCCAATGCTCACTGCTGTAGGTCCTTTTTCCACGTGTGGTCACAGGCGTGCGTCTCAAAGACCAATAACCTTGTTAGCTCCCCTCACTGTCATTCATAATGCAAATGAGACAGCTTGTGAACGGGCCAGAAGCCCGAAAAGGCAAGGCAACTGGCATACAGGGGGAGAGCGAGGGAGACACACAGACAGAGAGAGAGCGAGAGTTTTTCACAAACACACACACACACACTCCTTTCTCTCTTTCTTGCTCAACTTCTACCTTTCTCTTTGGACAACACATGGCCTGCTCAGATGGGGGCAGTGAATGGCACACATGCCCCGGTCTTTGTTGCTACAACAGGCAGCGGTTTGCATTGGCGGCCCTCCTATCTTTTAGCATATTAATAGAGTGGCGGACCTGCAAGAGGGGAAGGAAGAAGAGTGTGACTCCATTGTCCAGAGTCATCACCTCATTTCACCCAATTGAGAGACACAGCATCCATCCCGTCTCTGCTGATAACAATTCAGTGAGACAGGCCGGACAAAAAGACTGTGGCCGGGGACGGGGTGGGGGTTGCGCACGAGGGTCAACTGGGGGGAAGGAAGATGAAGAGGAAGGGATGGCCGGAATGGCGACAAGGAGAATAAGAAGGGAAGGTGGTGGGCGTGTCGAGGGGAGAGGGTGTAGACAACTCCGCGGCACATCACTCTTAAGTCTGTGTCCAGAATCTTGTGAGGTTTTGGGAGAAGAAAAGAGTCGCCCTCCAGTGACCCTCAACTCCTGCCTCCCATCAACCCCTCCACCCACCCCACAAGCATGCCTCTCTTCCTGGGCCACCTATGGACTGGAGGAGTGGGCAGTGGGGGCAAAGAAACAGCCTGCACATTAACATATTGCCATATTCAATTGCAAAGCAAACTGCACGCAATGGCTCTGAAGGAGATTTTTCTTCCTTCTTTTTTATGTGGAATCAAAGAGGTGGGCCCTTTGATAGCTGTAAAGGCAGCCCCTCACTGCCTTTTTAACATGCACAGCCAGGCTCTTTCTCATCTTGTGGGCTCAGTGTTGACAAATAAATGAACTTATTATACACCCCTGTGTTAGCAGCTGGGCCTCTGCCAAGGGGCGATTTATTAAAGGCTACCTCGAGCCAAGAGGAAGGAGCGCACAAAGCCCCTCGGCATTACATCACTGCTGTAAGAGCACAACTTTCTATAGAGGGGTAAAAGGACAAAGGCATACACGGATTTACTGTACGTGTGCAGTGAGTGCAGACTGACAGGCAGGGAGGCAGACAACTCAGAGACAGCGGCGTGAGACAATGAACCAATTCCTACATGCTTTAAGATGCAGGCGCGCACACACACACACACACACACACACACACACACACACACACACACACACACACACACACACACACACACACACACACACACACTCGGCATAGATGAAGGTTTGTGGGAGAGCTGAGTGGCGGGCAGTGGGCAGCAAGCTGATTTTTCGCACTCAAGACAAGACAGGTCTGTAGCAGAACAAGGACGCGCGCGTGCAGCCGATGCGGGCTGACACTCCGGCCTGGTGGCTGCTGCATGTGGGGGGAAGAATGACCGTATTTTAGGAGGCCCTCATTGGTATTCATGTTGAGGATAAACAGTGTATGTAGCTGAGTGGGGACGCCTGCGATGGAAAGCTCCCTGTGAGCAGCGGCTGGCTGGCCTGGCCTGCACGCCTCTCACCCCCTTCAATGGCCCTTTCTCCTCCCGGTGCCCCCTCGTCTCCATTCCTCCGTGTTCCTACCCCGTGAAACTTCATCCTCAGGCCTCTGGTCACACAGTCTGCTTCCCTACATGGCCCACTCCTCCTGGGTGGCTGCTATGCACAGTATGCACATTAAACTTGTAAATTAATTAAAGCTGGAAAGTTGAACAACAGCCAAAAAAAGAAAGAAAAAAGATCTCCTTTTCACCCTTTCCTCTCACTCCAGCGCTATAAATCAGAGTCTTGTATTCTATACATGTAGCCCTTATTGACCTTGTTTATTAAAGGAGCAGCATTACGAGGACCCGCGGCCTGTTGACTGATTAAGGCCAAAAACAAACATCATTTTGGGATTGGCATGACAGTAAGTTTCAGCATTAATGAAACATGGCCGGGTAGTCCAAACACATCTGTGGAGAGCTGCTCAGATGGTTCACCTAATGTAGCTCCTCGAGAAATCACCAGTTAAATAATAACGCTGCGATACTGCCATCTGTCATATTCCATTCCAGTCTTGTTCCAGACAAGTTGCTCTGTAGACGAGCGCAAAAAAAAACTTGGGAGAGTCTGAGTCATGCAGCCTGCTCAAACTGATTTCAAGTCATTAGCCAGAAAACAGCATTCCTGTTTAATTATAGCATCCTGTGACAACTCTTTTCAGTGTTGCACCATCATCTCCACTGTCACAGCTGCAGCCTTGAGGCGTTGGCAACATTGCAGATGGGGAGCATACAGATTTATAGAAGTTTGAATGGGGGAAAGCATGAGGCTTCTCTTTCCTTCACATTGCAAACTGCTAACTCTGTACTCTGATCGTCTATATGTGTAGCTGATCAGATTCAGACAATCAGGAGCTGAGCAGAAGTTGCGTCCATAGAGAAAGAATAACGCTAAGACTCTGGTGTCATGTCGTTCCAGCTGTCACCGACATTTACTTCACAAATATTAGTCTGTGGTTACCGTGACCTCCATTAAACATATTAAAGGCGTTTTGATTTCTAGTGGATAACTGCAGCATCCTAAGAAGAAACCTATCTCCTCATGTTTCTACTGTGAGTCAGCTGGCCGCAGTATTTTAGAGTGTGGTGCTGATTACTCCAGCGAGGTGAGGGGGTGAACACTCAGGACGTGCCACTCAATGATTCACTCTGTGTCACATTTTTGGGCGAACACGGTCAGGAAGTGTCTTCCTGCTCTGTGTGTTGACGATGCAGCCAGACCGGACATGATGGTGAGGGACGATAATTTGTTGGAGCAAGTGGCCAATTTGTTGGGGTTCTGACTCATCGAACATGAAGGGGCTTTTATGTAAACAAACACCAGTAAAGAATTTTTCATTGACCACATCTGAAGATGAATCATTCATCTCCAGAATGCCGAGCTGAGCCTGGAGGGGATTCTCCGCGCAGCAGCCGCTTGGAGAGAAAGCAACACGGAGCATTCCTGCCTCTGGACCAGTGAAACTTAACATCCTAAATGCATGAGTCACTTCTGAACATCTGAGTGGTCAGTGTTGCATAAAAATGTACATGTTCCCTTCCTGAATTTTGGGCGCATGACTTGGAAAGCTTTGGGGGATACAAGAAAAAAACTTTTAATTTTTAATTATCTCATGACAGTTGGATAGCAGTGCACTTCTTCATTGTTCTGAGATAAAAATGAAATACAGTGGATGAAGTGTATTTCAACATGTGATCCAACATTTGACTTTTGTGTTTTTGGGTTGTATAACAAAACAAACAGTGAAATATACTGTGTTGGGCATGAAAATATGAGTCCAGGCACAACTGCGTGAAAGTTGAGAAGAGCAAGGTTTATACAAACTGCTCCCTCATTTTGTAAATAATATTTGGAAAGGTAAACCTCGGCTTTACTGTAGTACTCTGCACAATAAGAGCAAATAGCTTGTTCTGTGGTAAAGTTTTTACAAATATATCAGAGTGAAAGTGAAGCCATACGGCAAAGCTCTCTCATGTTTGTTAGCTGGTGAATCATTAGTTTGTCTCGGAAAAAACTAACCAGTTAATCATCAAGTTACTCCTCACGATCCAAAGACACTTCCACATTCCACAAAAAACACTTTTCCACAGATAAAAGTACTCAATTACTTAAACGACTCGCTATTTACATCCCAACTTGTATCAAAATGCTCTTTGTGTCTTCCACGACAATTGACTCTCTCTTGGACAGCACTGTTGGCCCCGATCCAGAATTTTCTTTTGATCAACTTCTATATCCATTGTCACCATTCCATGCATACCATTACAGAGAGCACTATTGGAGTTGGTATATATTTTTAAAAAACTATAATCCCTGCCAATATGGCACGAAGACGGAGCTCAATAACTGCAGAAGACAGGTTGGGGTGCATCTGTCTGCCCCATGCACCCCATCCATTCTCCCACTTTACCTCAATTGAATAATAATAGAAGAGGAAGCTCGGAGTGCTTGGTGTCTGTGTGTAGGAATGGAGGTTCATAATCTCCCTTAATGAGCTTGTTTCTGGGCTATTATCCGGCGGCCTGCCTGAGGGAAGCGCTGGTGTTTCCTATCAAGTGGCCCCGCAGCGCTGACCCTCGCATGGCTCTGCATATGAAATGTAAGGGCCGAGCCTTTTGTCTCCTTTCTCTCAGCCTCTAGCTGAGCCCCCTGAGCCATTTGCATAGTCGTGAATGGGCCAGCCAATGTTATTAATTAATACAGAGCCAGCCTGCGCCACCTGACAAAATCCCACCGAGTGGCTCGAACGGAACTGTTTCATCAAAAGAGAGGAGCCATTAGGAATGAGAGGCCTTATTCTCCACTTCTCCTCGTCTCTCTCTTGTTCCCCAGAAAACAGAGAGCCGTGGTTTTATGCATGTTTTCTTTTTCAGTATAGGGACAGCAGTGGTGGGAGTAGTGGTGGGTGGTGATTTGAATGGACTGTATGAAATGGGAAGGCCACAGGTGACCCGTTGTCAGACGTCTTGCAAATGTAAATCCTCCTGAAAGATCTCCTCCTTCTGCCGTGACTTTACCTTCTCAGCTCAGCTTGAGGAGGATTCTCAGCAGATAGCCTGAAGATTTACGGCTGGGAACGTTCGGCAAACGAGGTTTCGATTTTCCCAGCGATGTTCAGATGCATCAAATTGTTGACTCACTCACGCTCTCACTCTTTCCCCGCCTTGCCCTCACTCTCTGTTTGCCTGGATACAGGTCTGAGGAGAGCATGCACAGATAAATGACCTGTTGCTAATCCAGAGCTAACTCCAGAAAGTCTCCCCTCTAAAACACAATGTCAGGAGGACGACTCTGGGAGGCTCATAAATTTATTTCCACTGCCTCATTGAAGCAATTAAGGACAAAGTGCATGAGTCTTTCACAATGTTGCTTTGGGAATAGGTCCGATCACTGACACGCTGTCATTCCACACATTATTCTGCTGGCGCGAGAGAACAAAGAAAAGAAAAAACGTATCTGGAGAGGAGGCGTTTTTTCTCACCCTGTCATATCAATTGCACAATCAGTGCAGGGGATTCCATTGCTTTATGTTTTAAATACCTGTCGCCTCCCTTGTATCTATTGATCTAATTGTAAACACACTCCTGTGAATGATGTCAGCACAAGAAGCCATTTTCCCATGAAGGATTGTTGTCTGAGAGTTTCAAAATAATGGAAGCTGCTGGTGGTGTTGGTGATAGTGAGTCACTCAGAAAGGGAGAAAGAAAGAAGAGACAAAAGCCTTATTGTAGTAAATAAATACTGAAGGATGTTAAAGGGCTGGTTGAGGTGCCAGTTTTCAAATAACTCCACTGAACTTGTTTGTATCTTTGAACGAGGCGTCAGAGGTGGCGCAAACAGGAGAAACCTGCCTTAGAGAATCCCAACATGGGAACTCAACATGGGAAAGCTATCATGTCCGCCAGCTGTAGGGTGGGGAGGCGTGAGAAGATGGTGGAGGTGCGGGGAAGAGGGGAGGGAGGAGAGATATGAAAACATGACATGCCTTAGAAATGCCCGAGAAAAAACAATATCTTCCTCTGGCTCTCCCCAACTCCTCTGTTCTCTCCTGCGTCTTCCCTTGCCTCCACCGGGCCGTCTCCTCAGATCATGTTAAGGGCTCCCCGTTCCTCCCACGACTCTCTGGATGTTTGATCTTGAGGGAACAATTCACCTCAAGAGCGGAGAGACAATAGCCCGTCTGCCTCCGCCCCTGTCCATTCCTCTTCTCGACCCTGTGCGACATGGGAATGCCCCTCAACCAGGCAAAATCTGCTTTGAAGTGTTACTGGATGCTCTGCAAGCCACTGATATGCCTCTAAAACACGACCACATACCAGCCTGGGAGAAGACAGATGATGGACATCAGACCTAAGAGTCTATCACTTAAATGTCTTCCATGACACATGCTTTTCTTATGCAGAATATTTTCCCCCTGGAGGTAATGCATCTCACTTAAGTTACTGCGGGCCGTGACTGGCCCACAGCACACCTCTGCACTCAGAGCTGTTGCCGCATGTTATAAAGCGAGGAAGGCTTATAACACGCTGCAGAAATAAGATTTGACTTATTGCACTCTGTACGGTCAGTGGACCAGTGTTATTTCGATTGCTTGTTAGGACACACAAAACAAATGTTCTATTAGCTCCGATTGCGTCCTACCTGTGGCACAGAGGGCGATGAAGGTCTGGACATGTTTGCGTATAAGTGCCAGTTTATCCTCAGGCAGCGGCAGCCTCCTCACAATGTGCTCAATGAAGTCGTTCGGCGTCACCGCTGCCAAGTTCCACTTCAACTTCCCCAACACCACCAGTTCCCATTCCTGGAGAGAGGGAGGGAGGGGGGAGAGAGCAGAGAGAGTTGACCGAAAATGAGAAAGACTGAGGGTGTTTCAGTGACACAAAGTACGACCACATATTTACATACTGAGACAGTTTTACACACAGCTGTTCAAGACTGCAAATGAAAGTGTGTGAATGTGACACTGTGGGCCCCCGGGGGCCCCAGTACAGTGGCGAGGGTTTGGGGGTTAAGCATTATTGTTATTACATTAGCATCTGCTTGGCCTGGCCTGGGACAGAGAAACACCAGCAGCGCCACCAACTCAGGTGACCTCACAACACTGCCTCCCTCCCTCGTCTGTCTGTCTGGCATCTGGGGACTTTCCTAAAGAGGCCCACCAGAGGTTCTACAGTGTGTGTGTGTGTGTGTACAGTGAATATGGATAGGAACGCTGTGCTTGTTGAGCAGGATCAGCAGTAAACCGTTGTTATCTTAGAAAGTTAAACAGTATTTAATCTCTTTTCTCAATCTATAATTCATTTAAACTATAAAAACACTTCATTGTGCGCAACAACATTAAATGTGATTATTTCCTTTATTGCATCCTGTGTTTCGCTTACAATTCTGTCTCTACCCTTTGGTTCAGCCTTTACATCTTATGTTCTACTTATATAAACAATGTCAAGAGCTGAATAAAAGATCAAGACTTTATTCTAAATCATTTACAACCTATGTTTCTCAGGGGAAACACAATCCTCAGGTAACATTTTAAATTAAAGGCTTCAAATCGAACATTACTCAACTCCCCGTGTTATCGAATATGCCTGCATTAACTGCTCTAAACTATCACAAATCATTTTAATGTGGGTCTCCTGGGAAAATGTGATGTGAGAAGAGTGTCGGTTTGATGTCGGGGGGGCACTATAGGTGTGGTGCCCTCTTCTCTCAGTACGTTGTTGAACTTTCACTTCTCAGCGGAGGTGATCAACGGAATAGTTGGTGACTAATTTTGGAAATAAATGTTGTGGTTTGGTTCCGGACTGCAGACTTGTGACTGCGACTGTGGATGCTCCTCATTTTCCCATTCAGAGAGAGAGAGAGAGAGAGAGAGACCACATGGACTCAGTCATGAGACAATTCAACATGGCTGCTGCAGACCCTGCTACAAGCCCCAGCTCAAAGTGACATTCTTTTTTTTAGCCTCGTCTGATTTTTAATCTCCTCAATGCTACTCACAACTACTCATATGGGAGGAAATAAGAAAATTAAAGCCCTTTTGATTCAAGGGTGAAACAATCGTCTGATTGGTTTGAAGAGAGTAATATCTCAAAGATTAAATTATTTGATCAATCCCACAACGCCCAGCAGTGGTTTGTTGATTACTTGTGCATCATGGCTGCCTCCTGCCTTCCGCTCTCAAACAGCCTTTTCCATCAGTGCCAGCGAGCAAGATTCAATACAGCGAGGGCTGCTGTGACAAACCTTGCAACACAGGCTCTGTGCTGACAGAGTGGCAGGCACCCACTTCCTTCTGCTACTTGCCTTCCTCTGGTCACACCTTCTTTGTAACATTGCGGTTCTCTTTACAAGAAATTGTTACCAAAGATGAGGAAAAAAACACACAAAAAAAAGATCACATGCCCTGAGCAGCTGATCTCTGTTTCCTGTATCTGCATGTCAGCCAAAATACTGCCTTATACAGAAACACTGAGCGGAGGCCTCAGCAAACCGGTTCAAGGACTGAGGGCTTTGTCTGCACAGTGAGCACAAAGGTAGGACGCACTCAGTTTTCTGAGCACAGCAACAGTCTACATGCTGTCTTACAAGACCTCCATCTCAGGTTAATCATGTGCCACTTTTTTAAATGGACACCGTTTACTCATCAATCCTCTGACTTCAGTCCGCTGACCATTCAACCCTTCGCTCAGCAGAAGGGAAATTAAATCTGACACGATACTCTCAAGTAGAAATACATTCCAGAAAATTATCCAACAAAACCAACAGAAGCTCGTGAAGAAACAGGGGAATGCACGCTGCGGCAATCAGCACGGCGGGCAGAAAGCCGCCCGCCAGTTAGACAGCGAGGCAGGCCTGCAAACATCAGCCATGTCTGAATCATAATATGTGGACTCTTTCACAACATGGGTGGGATTGGTTGTTGTTTACCGAGGAATGTTTGTGTAGCACCGCAGCGGGGAAATACTTATCTGATGTGAAACCCAGTTAATTAATCGGTTTGTGATGGTGAAAACAGCTGGTGTTATCAGGCCAGAGCGGCCTTATCAAATAAATAGGACACAGAGGAATGACATTTATGTTTCTCTGCCCTGCATTGTCAGTTATGTATATGTACACATGCTGTAACCTACGCGTTGGATAATGTGTCAGAAGTAAAAGCAGCGTGACACAACATCAGAAACGTGTGCAGTTATTTTTGGATGAAAGTTAAACTGTAAAAGGCAAACTTGAATTTCTCTTGTGTCTCTCTCTCCCTGACAGGAACAGAGTCAGAACTTTGGCTGGAGTTCAAGCTGACCTCGTTGCTCTGTGCAAATATCTGCCACTAGATGGCGATGTAGACCACTGCACAGACTGGATGAGTATACTGTAAAGTCCACAGGGTCTTGTACAGTGAAGAGAGCCCTTGTGGGACAATTCACTGAGGGGCTGCTGCTTTTTCCTGGATCTTTGATGACTGAGCGGTGCAGAGCGGAGACTGGACGACACATTTAGAGAAACGAGACCAGCTCTGGTGTGAAGTGAGATGTTCTCAGCTCAATTGTTAAATAAACACATTTTATTACCTTAAAATCAAATGCAATAAAAACCTGTTGACTATAAAGTTAACATGATGCAGAAACATGTCATGAAACATAACTTTGTCTTGGGATGACATCATGAACCCTAAGAGGTGCCACTGTGAAGTTTTTGTGCACAAAACCTTTTGAGGCAAATGTTGCTTACCAGCAGCTCTTGAGGTCTGATGGAGTTATCTGTGTAGATGCAAAGCTTCTCTGCAGTTAGTGGACGAGTCTCTTTCAATTTGGATGCGAGGAACATGCAGACTGCACCCAGCAGCTGCAGGTTGCACTTTTTGGTGGGTACCACGGCTAAAAATCTGTCCAAGTAGTTCATGGCCAAGGGAAAAACTTCTTCTTCGCACTTCTGCTCCTCACAGACCTGAATAAAAGAGACAATGCAGCAATAGTTTACCATCTGCCAGCAGCAACCAACCCTGCAGTGACCTGCCTTTATTTCCCAGCACTTGAAAAGTATATAAAACCTTTATGACACAACGAAACAAACGTCTAATTACATAAAGAGCGCGTATAAATTCAATGACACACATAGTTGGGGCCCGGCCAAGATTTTGCGCCCAGCCCTAATCGGTTGCGACATCATGAATTAAATCGAAATACATTATTTCACAAAGAATGAAATAAGTCTGGGGCACAAACTGTCAATAGAGTCACATTCCTGCTGTTCACTGACTAAGAAATGAATTCAAGTCACAATCAGCCGAAGCCAAAAACACCCCGACAGCGCAGCACACGGAAACACACTTTTTTTCATTCGTCATATTTTCATAAAATAATTAAAAATACAAATAAATTATCCACACCGGTTTTTTTCACATCATAATGTTCATTGGTCCTTTCCACATCATATCCGACAATTCCTATCCAAATTCATGCGCTGTAAATATGAATAAAATGTCAAAATAAAGACGAGTAGCGAGAGGTTGGTGTGGCGTGCGTCACCGCCGAGCCGATATGTTCATTTCAAAAATTAATTAAAAATCTCCAGTGGGTCGCACCGGGATAATATTGACATGAAAATAAAGCTCAAAGCCTGGGGGATGTTTACATGTGGGTGTTGATCAGAAATATTCGATCGGGGGACAAGAATCGAACACAATTCCAGAGTGAGGCAATGCGACGTGGGGAAGAGCAAGAAGACAGATAAGGCCCTCGCCCCTTCCGACACTTAAAATAGATGCGTAAAATGTTCCCAAGGCTTTTTGCGATCAATTCTATATTCCGCGGACACCCAAGACCCTCCTCTGTCAATGCCGACGGGCTTCGTGCGCTGTTATTGCGTTTATGACACCGTAAAGTCCCGTTTAAAGCCACGAGCGCTCCTGTAAAAAACCAACATGGCGATGTCGGAGCGCAGGGCAGCAGCTCATCGGGGAGTGCATACGTGTGCATGGAAATATTCAGCCTAAGTAAAATAATAACATTAAAGAATCAACACACAGCTTGCGCACACGGCGAGGGAGGCATTTAAAAGAAATTCAGCGGTGTCGCAGATTTCACGAGCTTTTCAGAAACGCAGTCCTCGCGAGCGGACTTTAAACGTGGTAAGAAAAACTACAGAAAACGACGCGTCAAACGAGGAATAAACAGTGAGAAACCAGAGCTGGGAGCGAGATGTGTTGTCCGTAAAATGCAAACTGAGCTCAGCAAAGCAGCAATGGCAACAAGTCAGGAGGCTTAAAAGTCGAGCACGGAAATAATAAGCCTGTATAAGGCTTGTCAGCACTCGGGTGTTTCGATGTGTACCTCCAACATCCAAGTAGCCAACATCCTCCTCATGAACGGCTGGATGTCTTTCTGGACGCCTTTGAAATAGGAATATTGGGGTAGAAACCTCTCCTCGATGGTCAACAAGCTCTGCAAGACCCTGTCATCGCACAGGAGGTTGGGATCGGGACGAGCTCGTATGACGGTGTCCATTTCGAGGCAGAGCAGCTCCATGGTGCCGCTGGTGCTTTCACTTAAGTAGAAAAAAGTCGGATTTCTCTCCGGTGGCGGTGAAAAGCGGTGCTGCGGAGTTAAAAACGCAAAGAAAGGGATGGCAGGGAAAGTGTATGAGAGGCATAAGAAAGTGAGACTGCAGGGGCTCCGTCAGAATAGTCCTGCCTCTCCTTGTTGAGAACTTTTTCCTCTCTCCCCACAGTGCGCCTCTACTTTCATCCGCCTGGCTCCGGCAGGCGCATGCATTTCAAGCCTGCCCAGCGTGCGCCACTGACGCAATTCACTTCATTACCTCTGTATAGACCAGACGCAACACGCTGCTCTCACTCCTCTTCCTTCCACTCAGACATGCGAGGCAACTTCTCTGTAAACTTGTTTCACTGCAAACTGTCACCAAAGCAGAGGCAACAATACATGGAGAGATATGGCACAAAAGAAAATCCACTTTAAATCGAGTTTAAAGGGATTTTACGCACATTTAAGGACTGAATTGGGATCAAATAAACATATGTCCTCATTCTTTAGATGTTTCAAAAATATCTAGCTGATAAATGTTTAATGAAAGTATGATGATGTCAGGTTAAAGAGGTGTTCTCTTTGCACCTATTTCTGGATCTTGATAAGATGATGATCATATGATATTGTTACTTATCTCATAACCTAGTGTAGAAGAATGGCTGTCCGGTTCATTGCTGCATTATAACCACATTTACAGGTTGTACGCGCTCCAATGAGTCCACTTCACTCCCGAAAGTGCAACAAGTGCTCCTTGTGAATGTAAACTGAATATAAAGTTTGGGTCGATATAAAGTTTGGGTGGAAAAAGAAAGAACAATACAAAGAAAGTGATTAATTAGTATTGATTTCTGATTAAAACCACTTGTCTGAGAGTTGTTTTTTTCAACGCACTCAGTGAACTGAGTGCGAGCTGAGGATGACGCATGTGGAGGCTGAATGTGGCCATAAAGGCTGCACGTTAACTTACAGAGGAGCATGAACGTGCACACAGGACACACGCACACACGTTTTGTCGACCATTTTTTTAATAGCTGCCTCTAACTGCTTGTGGTTGGTGAGATAGCTTTCTAGGAAACTTGAAGCAGCGTTGAACTTTTTTTTTTTTTTTACTTTTGCATAATCTTCTCTTAAAGAAAACCCAACGATCACTGGTTTGGTTTTTAGGACAAAAACCATATCTACCAATCATTCACCAATTCCTGCTATAAATCACTATTTTCCCCATTTAAAAAAAATAAATAAAAAATTGACCAAAGCAGGTGGAAACGCAGAATGTAAGTAAATGAGTAGATAATTAAAAAAATGACTGCCAATAATTTAACCTCACATACAGCCACAAAGAGAATCTGCATGGGTAAATATGCTAATCCCTCTGCTATTCTTAGTCAACTTCAAAGTCCTGGAGCCTTGAATGAAACAAGACTGAAGTGCATGAGGGGAAGACTGCGGGACTGTAAAATCCTCAGAGCTTTAGAGCTGTTAATTTCCATCCGAGGCTTGTTGGTTCTATAGCTGTGCTTGTGAGAAAAAGTAGGGGAAATGTCTCTTTAAAGTTTTTTTTTTTCTCCAGTCTAAGTTATTTCCTCCTCCCTGTGTCTGTGCGCGGAGCCAATGGTTCCTCAGAGCTCCACCGCGGCTGTGCGATTGTTACTGGGCAGACTTCTTCTATACCTCTCTCTCTCTCGCTCTCTCTCTCTCTCTCTCGCTCTCTCTCTCTCGCTCTCTCTCTCTCGCTCTCTCTCTCTCTCTGGTCATTTATCAGTCTCTCTCTCTCTTTAATGGGTGTCGCTGTTGAAGCTCAAGCAGCCTATCAGAGCGTCTTGAGTGGCAAAACGCAGGGCTGTGGGTTCATGGAGTCTTGACTCAATTTAGTCCAAAAATAAAAATTTAAACTTTGAGCAGGAGAGAATCTTTATTGTTTCCGCATCATCAACAAGTGTCAGTATCTTGAAAGAAAAATTTGAACGAGATCAACCTGGATCCTGCATCAAGAAATTCCATCAAATCATTTGAATTTTAGGTGGAAAAAAAGAAATAATTTCAATCTTCAATTTACATTCTCTGAGTTGGAAAACATGGATTTCTCTGCTATATTGTGGATTGAAATTAATAACTGAAATTGATTTTTTCACTCATATGATGCTGCAAAATGTAACATTTATAAATCATCTTTTAAGCTTCAATGATCATATTTCTATCTTTCTATCTTTTCCATCATTCTATCTCTGTGAGCTAATATGAGGAAAAACATTTGAACGTGATCACAAGTAAGAGAAACAAAGAAAGAAAGACAGAAAGAAGGAAAGAAAGAGAGAAAGAAAGAAGGAAAGAGAAGGGTGTTGCGGTGGAGATGCAGGTGCTCCTAAAACCTCTTATCCAACAGCATCAGGTGCCACAAGCTCACCATGGATGCGTAATTACGCACCAACGACAACTTCTAATCACAGTTTCATGTCAGCAATAGTCATGTTTTCTTTGTTGCTGAATAAATAAATAAATTTTAAGTTGAAAAACATCGCAGGTCTCGTCTGCATAATCACCATCAACAACCTGCACACTGCTCATGGATTGAATCTTTACATCTTTCTCCCAAAAAGTGAAAAACTTTGTGAAAGAAGAAATAGCAGCAGCTCTGAGTTGTTCTTCTCTTGAATCAAATACGATATCTGTAACTAAACACGTCTAAAATTCTTAACATAAACTCACACCCCAGTGTCCATATGTCAAAGTTTAAAAGCGCAACTTGTCGGGAGTTTCTACAGATATTAACACACAGTCAAGGGTTGTTTCTGTGTGACGCCAGCGACTCCTCTGAGAAAAACGAGACGCAGCAGCAGAAACGCATTTGGCCCCCGGAAGCATTCAATTACCATATCACAATAAAATCGGAACACACCCCACGGGTTAGTACCGTTAACAAGTTACGACCCTATTCACAATGAAAGGTACGCTGAGGAGGGGGCGGTGAATCATGACTGAAGTGAAACTTCCAACGCTGCACACTGCAAGAAATATCTGTCGGGACAAATTATTTTATACAGTTAAGAGCTTTTAAATCTTATTTTCTTTCAAGCACCAGAGGGGATGAGACAAGTCAGCGGCTCTGCACCAAATCAAACAGTCTATTTAATAGAGAATAGTGTATTTATTTGCCTTTATTCAACACTGCTTTAATGTCGGATCTTTATAAATAAATAATAAAGAAAGGCATTGAAAACAAGCACATTTATTAACTCATATCTGTAGATGTTTCCGCTTTAAAATCTAATTAAATAAATTAAAAAACACGAATGAAATAGTGAGGGTGAGAACTTCCTGCAGTGAGGATCGAGCAGTGACTCATTATTACCATCACCGCACCTTTCACAGTTTAAATCACCGAGATGCAACGAGCAGACTCTGCAGATGATGATGATGATATTGATATGTTTTATTTCTTCTTCTTCTTCTTCTAATGCTGGTGAGAAAATGTCCTAGATGAGACAAGAGAACTGTTGGAGGGGAATTTATGAGACTCCTCCTGAGCCAGAAACAGTCTTGAAATGACAGTATCAGGTCTGAGTTTGTGTTTGAGTAATAAACACTGAATTAAACAGCATCATGGCTGCACACTGGAGTTTCTATGAATGTGAAAGGCACCTTGTAGATTCTAATTCCCCATAAAACAAAAGAGGAAAAACTCATGTTTTTTAATCACTTAAATTAAAACCCAAATACAGCACTTTACATGTAAAATGTTGTGTAATACTAAATGTTAAAATGTCTTATTTAAATGAGCAGTAATCTCACAAAGCAGATTTCCAGGTTTTTCTATATTCTTCATGAACCTAAACATGACACTAAAATAAACAAGATAAGATCATGAAGATTGTTTCTTTCTTTTTTAAAACACAGCTTTTCCAAATTGTAGTTAAACTGGTTCCAGTAGATAATATCTCTTCAGCAATGTGAACAGAAAACAGCTCAAAACCCAATCTGAAAACATCACACCTGCATCAGCAGGTCAGCAACTGTCAGGCAGGAAATACACACCTACAAAAAGGAATAGATTAAACAAAAATATTATTTTATGTTATTATAATCTTAAATGATCAAACTCATCATAAAGCTTCTTTTAGGAATTCAAATAAATAAAAATGATAAAGAGATTTTATGTTACAAAGACACTTTATGTGAAATTCCACCTGTGTCTCTTCAGTATTACTTTAGAATCATGTATTAATTGTTTATTTACCTGTGTTTAAACTGTTCTTGGATATAATCCTTATTTTTAAAACAGATGCTGTTAAAAATATTTTTTGCAAGATTTTTCATAAAGGTATTAAGCCTCAATCTCTATCAGATTACTGTTGAAGGGCAGAAGAACCCGAGTGATGTACGGAAATTAATTCAGAGATTTAATTATTTATTAGAAAATTACATAAATAAAATGAAACATTTCATTCTTAGAATTCAAATTAGCTCATTTCCTAATTTTCCTGATGACAAACCTGCTGGATTTCCTCTTTATTTAGATGCTATAAACATATAAAATGTATTATTATTGAATTAAAAATAGAAGACATACAGAGTGATGGTGGGAAACATGGGAGGAAAAACGAATTTAATTTATAAATCATTGATTTTTCAAAGTTCAAAAATATGTCTTCATGTGTACAAACATAATGGAGGTGTTCACATTGTAAGATAATAAGCAGTTTTCACATGGAGGGAGTTAATTCGAACAGTCGAGCAGCAGGTGTATTGGCTTCAACAGCCCTGACACCAACATCCAGTCCTCCTCCTCCTCCTCCCTCTTCGCTTCAGCTACCATTTCAAAAATTCAACTTCTAAATAAACTTCTCATGTCACTTCCTGCCAGCTGAATAAAGCCAAAGACACATACAAACATGGAGGAATCTCTGAGAGCAACATCCAACAGCAGCAACATACTCTCATCAAGTGCTCCGACATGTGTAGCAAAGAAAATCAAAAAATACTAAAAGCAGAAAACAGTTTTCAGCTGTTTCCAGTTTGATCAGGAGAAGCACCGTGTGTGGTGGCAGCCATTTGTTTATCATGCTCACATTTCCCCATCTTTGCTGTATTTTTCTGTGGTTGAGCTGCAGATGTGTCCGCCAGACAACAACAACACAGAGGAAACCTACTCGTCCATGACACAAATATATTAAAAAACAGACTCATGCAAAACTTAAAATAATCTCCAACCGAAAAGTTTGAAACAGCACAAACAGTTTATTTTTGGTCAAATGTAGAATTTTGAAA